AGAGCTGCGCCCAACAATTGTTTCGAAGAGATTGCTACGAACAAAGGCCTGAAAGGCTTCATGGCAAAGCATCTCAGTGACCCCTGCCTCCACGCAAAAACAACGCCAAGCGTCACTTTGATCTAGGAGCTGGATAATTGGTCTTTTTCTCACTGTTTGCTGAGGTCGCCAGTCAAGCACGTCGAAGTCGCTACACGTCCTAGCTAAGCGCAAAAGCTTTTTACAAACGCTAGCTGCTTCGATTCTGCAGCTGTCAAAGTCGATGCAAAATGAAGGATGCGGCACACTTCCGGCACCGAGCTCATAAGTCTACAAGGTGACCTCAGGATCACGGAAACGTTGATGCTCCACCTGGCTTGAGCGACAGAGGGACCACGGATCTTTGACGAAGCATGACTGGCAGGGATGTTGATGGTCTCTTGCTCACCATGTGGAAAGAGGTACATTAGGCGCAGCCGGGGTGAAGTGTTTCGCTGCACCGTCTGGCTTCGACTTACGTAGCTGCTCATGCTGCGCTGTCGCAGGCTTGACGCCAAGAAGATTGGAACAATATCAGCACGTGCATCCATGAGCCCCCTGCCACTCTCTCATTGACCTGCCCAGCAGAACACCAGGCATGAGCGATTGTCGTGGCTATTCATAACTGGATTTCATGATCAGAAAGATACTACGCTGCATTTTGACAAGCCCCCTAAAGCATGCTTCTCGAAGGACCTTTAAGCCTTAATCCCTATCCATGCTGCGTGGGGCTTTCGACAGCCTTGCCCCTTATGTGCTGCTATTGCTGCTTTGAGACCCTATGCTTACAAGGATGACCTCCAGCACCGACTCGTTATTCACTTGTGCCATGCTGACCGAGTCCCGGGCAGTTCGTCCCAGCATGGACCCTGACAGCTCCAGAAAAGTCAGACACAAAGATTGAAAATCTGCTGGCAAGCAGGAGCAGACTCATTTGCTTATGCCACGCTGCACCGGGCTTTGTCGAATGGATTCTGAAACCACTCTCTACGGCATTCCCCCCTGAGGGGGTTCCCTCTCAGCAGCACAGTTGCGCGGCCCGGGACGACATGAGGAGTCAGATGTCTAATGTTGTTAAAGGACAGGTTAACGATCTTCACGTCATCGAGGTCATGGAAGATCCCGGAATCAAGCTCGCTGAGGGTGCAGATAGAGCACCTGCAGCTGGCCCAAGATCTGGAAGATGTTCTCAGGAAGCTCG